GTGATATTTACAGTTGTATTGGGTGTATATCCTGCTCCAATTTTAGACGGTTTACATTACTCCGTTTCATCTTTAATATACAATAGTTAAATCTGAAGATTATATAAAAAAATCTTTAACATTAATGTTAAATAAAAACTATAAGTAGCTGTAAAAACCCACATAATATGCTAGGTTTATATTTTTCAAATATAGATATTTATTACTATTAAAATAATATAAACTATAAAGGGATTAGCTTAATGGTAGAGCAACCGTTTTACACACGGTAGGCTAGGTGTTCAAGTCACCTATTCCTTAATCTTTTATATATAGTAATATATGTAAAGGAAAATTTACATGTGTCAGAATAATCTTTATATTTAATTATATAATAATGTAAAAATAGATAACTATAACATTGAAAAATATAAAAAATATAATATGCCACAATTAGTTCCATTCTATTTTATAAATCAGGTAACATTTGCTTTTATATTACTTGTAATTATGATATACGTATTTTCTAAATTTATATTACCAAGATTTGTACGATTATTTATTACTAGAATATTTATAAGTAAATTATAATATTTATTATAATTTCTCTCTTTTCTGTTATGTTAAACGTCATATTTAACCCTTATAGGTTTATAAACAAATATAACGTTTAACATATAGATTCAAAGTACCTCGTAATTAAAAATTTAAGCATATATAAAAAGGTTATAATATAGGTTTAAAGTTATTCGCAATTAAAGTTTTAGTCTATAAAAAGGATTAAGTTAGAATATATCAATAAAAATAAAAAAGTAAACTAGCAAATGTCTAATTTAGCTTATACAACAATCACAAGTCCCTTAGATCAGTTTGAAATTAGGAACTTATTAAGTTTAGATGCCCCTATATTCGGTAATTTACATATATCATTAACTAATATAGGATTATATTTAACAATAGGTGCTTTCTTTGTATTAACATTGAATGTTTTAGCTACTAATTATAATAAAGTTGTAAGTAATAGTTGATCAATAAGTCAAGAAACCATTTATGCCACTATACATAGTATAGTAACAAACCAAATAAACCCTACTAAAGGACAAATATATTTCCCTTTTATCTATACTTTATTTATATTTATATTAGTAAATAATTTAATTGGTATGGTACCCTACAGTTTTGCCTCAACAAGTCATTTCATATTTACTTTTGCTCTTAGTTTTACTGTAGTGTTAGGTGCAACTATATTAGGTTTCCAAAAACACGGTTTAGAATTTTTTTCTTTATTAGTGCCTGCAGGTTGTCCTTTAGCATTATTACCTCTATTAGTATTAATAGAGTTTATATCATACTTATCTAGAAATGTTTCTTTAGGTCTTAGATTGGGTGCCAACATATTAAGTGGTCATATGTTATTAAACATTTTAGCAGGATTTACATATAACATTATGACTTCTGGATTTATTTTCTTCTTTTTAGGTTTAATACCTTTAGCATTTATAATAGCCTTTTCAGGTTTAGAATTAGGTATTGCCTTTATACAAGCTCAAGTATTTGTAGTTTTAACTAGTAGTTATATTAAAGATGCTTTAGATTTACATTAATCTATAGTAAATATATAAATTTTTTTTATACCTTTTACTGTGCTAAACTGTATAAATAATAAAGTATGTTTTTGTGATACTAATAGTACAAGTGCTATATTTAGTATAGTATAGGAAAGTCCGGTGCTTATTGAATGTCAACACCTAAAAATGAGTGTTGGGTAAAAACTTGAGTGTTAAATAGAAAATATTTAATATCTTTCTATAGTTCAAAAAACTATAGGTAAATGTATGTAAAACAAATAATAAAAAACAACGATATAAAATAACAACAATAAAAAAAAAATCAACATATCAAAAAAAAATATATACAGTAAAAGAATATTAATGAGAACGCAAGCTTGACATTAGGCCTTATTATAGACTAATAACTATAACAGGATCCGGCTTAAAATTATCCAAAAACAAAAAAAATATCTTAATAAAAAAAAAATTTTTTTTTATTAATTAAGTTAAGATGTATTAGTAATGGTATAGTAATGTACTTCTTAAATTAGTAAAAGTTTATATTTTCTATACCTATAAATTGAGTTTGATGATGGCTCTGAATGAACGCTGTCCAAGTGCTTGACACATGCTAATCGAACGTCTAATCTAATTAATGATTTTTTATCATCTATTTCATTAGAAGTGGTGTACAGGTGAGTATATAACATTTTGGCTGCCTTAAAGTAAGGTTTATAAATACCTTATAATCGCAATGAAAGGAACTAAACTTCCGCTTTAAGAGGACAATAAGTGTTTCGGATAGGTAGTAGTTAAAGTAATGGTTTAACTAGCTTAAAATTCCGTAGTCGAGGCTGAGAGGTCGATCGATCACATTGGGTCTGAAAAAACCCCAATACGTATAGTACAGCAGTGGGGAATCTTGGTCAATAGCCTAACGGCTGAACCAGCAACTTGGGGGAATGAATAGCTTCCGCTAGTTATTTTGGCTGTTTAATTAATTATATACAAAACTTCTGATTTTGTATATAAAAGATTATTCATTTTGATCTTTTTTTGCTGCCGTTGTGGGATCAATTAATTTACCACTCACCGCAAGGCGCGAGGAAGTAATACTTCAGTGGACAAAGTAATATCGATTTTATCGAATAAAGTTCTAGATAGGATACTGATTATGACAATTTCCTGTCTATATGTCTTGACCAAATTACGTGCCAGCAGTCGCGGTAATACGTAGAAGACTAGTGTTATTCATCTTTAGTAGGTTTAAAGGGTACCTAGACGGTATAATTAGTCTTTAATAGGAAACGGTTATACTAGAGTTATATATGAGAAGGTGAGTATTTGTGGAGTAGAGTTGAAATTTTTTAATACCATGAGGACTGGTAAAGGCGAAAGCAACCTTTTATCTAATAACTGACGTTGAGGGACGAAGGCTTGGGTCGCGAACAGGATTAGATACCCTAGTAGTCCAAGCAGATAATGATGAATGCCATAGGTTAGATAAAATTATTTAGTCTATAAATGAAAGTGTAAGCATTTCACCTCAAGAGTAATGTGGCAACGCAGGAACTGAAATCATTAGACCGTTTCTGAAACCAGTAGTGAAGTATGTTATTTAATTCGTAGTTACGCGAAAAACCTTACCACAACTTGAATATTATATTAAGGAAGTCTTATATTATAATAAGAAATATAGAATATATTACAAGCGTTGCACGGCTGTCTTCAGTTAATGTCGTGAGATATTGGTTAATTCCATTAAATTAACGGAAACCCTTGCTTTATTTGCGATTTAATCTAAATAAAGCAGTTCACCATCATATCGGATATGATAACAGGGACCAAGACAAGTCATCATGGCCTTAATGTTGTGGGCGATAGACGTGCCACATATTCCTATACAAAATGATGCGATAATGTGAATTGGAGCTAATCTAATAAAGTAGGATATAACAAGGATTGTAGTCTGAAATTCGACTGCATGAATAAGGAATTACTAGTAATCGTGAATCACCACGTCACGGTGAATTTTTTCTCAGATAGGTACTAACTACTCGTCAGGCGCCGAAAGAAGTGTGTGCAATAAGTTTGGTCTTCCATTTATTTTTACTCTAGTAAATTAGTTCTAGTTATTTTTATGGGAGATTTTCGTATGCGTGACTTTGATTGGTGTTAAGTCGAAATACGGTTCGTGTAGTGGAAATTGCACGGGATTGATTAATGTTAACAATGCATATATTTTATATATACTGTATAATATATACTTATAAACCAGCTCCTTTGGGTTATAAGTACTTATATTATACTAAGGAAGGTTCCGTTTGTTGGTATGACGGGTTGAGCTGTAAACTCAATAGCAATAAGCTGTCGAAGGTTCGAGTCCTTTTCTTCCTAATTATCTTAGGCCTTTATAGCTCAATGGTAGAGCGGAATACTGTTAATATTCCGATAGATGTTCAATTCATCTTAGGGGCTAGGCACTAAGAATACGTATGGCGTGTTGACTTAATGGTAAAGTTTTGTGTTTCGGCCACAAGTATATAAGTTCAAGTCTTATACACGTCTATATTCTTATTTAACTACTCTTTCCTCTTTCGTTAAAAATATTTTTAATAATGGTAGTTAAATTACTTTAATTAAACTTTAATTAAATATAGAGGTTTTTTTATTCCTTTTTTTATTCATGAATAGTCTATATATTTTAAATGAAACTTTCACTAATGGTTATAGATCAGAAATATTAGATATTATATCTATAGCAGCTATATTATGTGGAATATTAGTTATTATTAGTAAAAATCCTATTGTTTCTGTATTATTTTTAATAGGTTTATTTTTAAGTATAGCTAGTTACCTAATGGTATTAGGTTTAAATTTTATTGGTCTTTCTTACTTATTAGTATACGTCGGAGCAGTGTCAATTTTATTTTTATTTATTTTAATGTTAATTAATGTTAGAATAAGTGAACTATTAAGTAATACTAGTAATAGCATACCTTTAGCTATTTTTATTACTATAGTTTTCAACTATCTTTTATATCAAATATTGCCTTATAGTGTTGCTACTTTTAATAGTTATACTGTTTATTTAAACAATACTATAAATGATATTTGATCTCATAATTATAGTGATAGTTTAAATAAATTCTTTAAATTAAATGGTACTGAATTAGACAACGGTGAAATTTCATTTGTTACTAGTAAAATATGAGATGGTAATTTAGCCGAAACTAGCCATATCTCTAGTATAGGAAATATTATGTACACTAGTTATAGTATATGATTAATATTAACTTCTATTATACTATTGTTAGCAATGGTTGGTGCTATTGTTATTACAATAAAACAAAAAAATTAATCATAAATCATTTAAGGATTTAATAACTAACTAAATTGTTAGTTTTATTCTTACCTAAATATTTTTATTATATTTAATATATACTATTAGTATAATTTAAAGTATAATAAGGGTTAGTCTTCTAATTGGTAAGAAACTTTTTTGTCAAGAAAGCAAATGTCGGTTCGAACCCGACCTAGCCCGTAAAGATAATATAAACTATAAAGGGATTAGCTTAATGGTAGAGCAACCGTTTTACACACGGTAGGCTAGGTGTTCAAGTCACCTATTCCTTAATCCTTAATATATAGTAATATATATTACGCCAAAATTATATACCTCTGGTATGCATATATTAATATATCTCTCTTTTTTAATCAAAAAAAGTTTTATATATATTAAAACACATAATTATTTATAATAATAAATGTAAATGACTAATTTGACAAGAAGTAATTTCCAAGCTCATCCTTTTCATTTAGTATCACCGTCACCTTGACCTTTATATACTTGTATTGCATTATTAACATTAACAACTAGTGGTGTATTAACAATGCACGGTTTTAATAATGCAGAAACATTTTTATCTTTAGCTTTTGTAACACTTATTTCATCTATGTCATTATGATGAAGAGACGTTATAAGTGAAGGTACATATTTAGGTAACCATACATTAGCTGTACAAAGAGGGTTAAACATGGGTGTGGCTTTATTTATAGTTTCAGAAGCATTATTTTTCTTAGCTATTTTTTGAGCCTTTTTTCATAGTGCCTTATCACCTACTGTAGAATTAGGAGCTCAATGACCTCCTATGGGTATAGAAGCAATTAATCCATTTGAATTACCTTTACTTAACACTGTTATATTATTATCTTCTGGTGTTACAGTGACATATGCTCATCATTCTTTGATACAAGGTAATAGAAGTGGAGCTTTATATGGTTTAGTTGCTACTGTTATATTAGCAGTTATATTCACAGGTTTCCAAGGTGTAGAGTATACTGTTTCTTCTTTCACTATAAGTGATGGTGCTTTTGGGTCATGTTTTTATTTTGGTACTGGTTTTCATGGGCTTCATGTTATGATAGGTACAGCTTTTATTGCTGTCGGTTTGTGACGTGTTTTAGCATACCACTCAACAGAAAATCATCATTTAGGTCTTGAGTCTAGTATTTTATATTGACATTTTGTGGATGTGGTATGGCTATTCCTTTTTATTTCAATTTACTACTGGGGTTCGTAGATATATTATCTTACCTATTCTGTATTAATTAGCCTCTTTGTTCCATCTAGTTCTTCTAAGTAATAAAGATAATGTTTTTATTATATGTTTATTAGAAGCTTATGTTATATTAGATTTATAGATAAATAATATAAATTATTTTCTTTATATGTCTAAGCTATATTATAGTGTATATTGTACTAGATTTTGTACCTACGGTATCTTATTTTAAGCCTTAAGGCTTAAAATACCCTAAATTTAGATTTAAAAATCTAAAGAGATCTTAGTTTAACGGTAAAACACTAGTCTTTTAATCTTCGTTATATGGGTTCGAATCCCATAGGTCTTATATGTTTACAGATAAAAAATATGATTATTGTTTTGACAAAACTGGTAACAATAAATATACAAAAAAAAATAAACGGCCATAGGTTAATGGTAGACCTTTCGTCTTCCAAACGATTTGTGTCGATTCGAATTCGGCTGGCCGTATACTATAATTATAATTCAGCATATTAATATTATGCTGTATATGAAAGTTCTAATAGTTTTTATATTTTTTTTCCTGATTTGATGGGTTAATTAAAAATAAAAATAGGAAAAGTTGCTATGGGTAAAGCGAGATATTTGCTAAATATTGTGTTATGCACCTGGATGTTCGAATCATCTCTTTTCCGGTATTTTTATTAAGATGTTATTAATATGTAACAATAACATCTCTACTAATTATAAGAGCATAGTTTAATGGTAAAATTTGAAGCTTCAAACTTCACTTTCTCAGTTCAAATCTGAGTGCTCTTGCTTAGTGATATATAAATTTTATTTATATTATCCATTTTGCGTATTTTAACAATATATTTACAAATTACATTCATATATTAAATCAAGGTTCCTTAGCTTAATTGGTAAAGCGTATTCTTGATAAGGATGTGTTTAGAGTTCAAGTCTCTGAGGAATCATGAATATTACTTAATATTATTTAATAATATTAGATAATAGGCAATAAAAGAGAATTGACTGAGTGGTTTAAAGTGATAAGCTTGAAACTTATTTGATTTAATAGATCACATCCGTTCAAATCGGATATTCTCTGGAATTCTTCTTTTAAAGATAAATAAAACGGATTAGAGCCAGGTTGGTTAGGCGCCTCATTTGGGTTGAGGATCTGTTATGTTCGAATCATAATAATCCGAATACAATATCTTAATGAATGTAGGTTAATAAGGTTGTATTAGTAATGTGTAAGATATCTATAAGTAATTTCTATGCATTTATGCATAGGAAAGTATATAAAGAGACTATTAGGGATACCTAGCTATATATTAAAGAGAGTAAAGAAATTTAAAATGTGTATTGCGTGAAGAAATTGTAATATTAGTTGTTCTTTAATCCGGTGAAATATCTGGTAGTAAAATACACATGAACTCTTAGAGAAATTCAATAATAAACGAAGTGAATTGAAATATCTTAGTAACTTCAGGAAAAGAAATCAAACGAGATTCTATAATTAGTGTGAATGAAAGTAGAAGAGCCTTCAAATATAGGTCATAGACTAGAAGAATAATTCGAAGATATGGTAGATATATAATAAGTAAAATGGGCAAAACCTGTTTGAATGTAAAGGGGAACCTTCCTCTAAGGCTAAATATAATATATAAGCGATAGCGTAAAAGTACTATGAAGGAACGGTTTGAAATAGTAGTCTTATAAGCAGCTCGAGTAAAGTTTAAATAAAAAGTAAGAGCGTACCTTTTGCATAATGGGTCAGCGAGTTAATATTAGATGCGAGCAATAATGCCCAGATAAACCAATTATGAAATAATGAATTAGTATCTAAAATTAGACCCGAAGCCTGGTGATCTTACTACAGTCAGGGTTATAAAAGCCCGAACGGGTTATCGTTGTAAAGATATCCGAAGAACTGTGGTAAGTTAGTGAAAGACAACACTGACTAGGATAGCTGGTAGAAGATAGAATAAGCAATTATTTAGGCCAGTAGGTAGAAGTGAACCTTCTGCTCAAACCATCAAATTGCGGGAAAGCCCTAAAGCAATTTCAACCAAGCAGACGTGGTAACACAGTTTGTGGCACAGGTAATGACTCGTGGTATGGTAAAATCGAAATTGATACACGTAAGTGAATGGGTAATCCGCAGCCAAGCACCATTATTTAAAAGTAATGGTGTGCAGTTCATCGACTAGATGTTGGTTAGCGCAAGCTTAAGATATAGTCAAGCCTCATCCTAAAGGATGCAGGATAGTATAGTATTTTTTTTTTTTATTTCTATTCGTCCCATAAGAGCCTTAATGGTTTATGTTCATACTTTATTCTTTTCAATTAGAATTAGTGATCCTAATAAGTTCACTATATTTGGTTAAGAGTATAGTCGACAAGTTATCATGATTAGATACCCGTAGCAGCTACAAGCGAGGTACAAGTAGAAAGGTACTCGGGCCATTGGAAGGCTAGCACCCTAAATCATTGATAGAATCGAAAGTGTAACCTCTAAAGTTTTGAATGTAAAGACATTAATATTTAAATAATTAAAATAAAGCTACTCAAATAAACTTTATACAAAAATTTATAGGGCAACAATGTTGCCTTTTTTCATCTGTATTAGGTAATAACTCTTCTGAAGTAAAGCCTATAATAACTTATATTAATTGTGATCTTGAAAAAGATCGTATATTAAAAGAAAACAAAAATAAAGCAGTTGTATATCGTTGAACTAACAATGTAAATAAAAAAAGCTACATAGGTAGTTCAGTTAATTTTTCTGTGAGATTATATAAATATTATAGTCTTAAACATTTAAGTGAACATAAAACAGCTATACATAATGCTCTTTTGAAATATGGATATTCAAATTTTACTTTAGATATTCTTGAGTACTGTGAGGATGTAGATCTTATATTAAGAGAGCAGTTTTATTTAGATTTATTAAAACCTGAGTATAATATATTACAACAAGCAGGTTCTTCGTTAGGTTTTAAACATAGCGATGAAACTTTAGAGTTCTTTAAAAAGGATCGAAAATTAAGTGAAGAAGCAAGAAATAACTTATCATTAGCCGCAACAGGTAGAATCTTAACTGATAAAGAGAAAATAAAAATATCTGACTCACGTAAAGGTATAAAACTTTCGGATGAAACACGTGCTAACATGAAGGCGGCTAGAATATTGCTTGTTGGTGTACCTGTTACAGTTAAAAATCTTACTACACTAGAGGTAAAAGAATATACAAACATAACTGAAGCAGCTGCAGCTATAGGTGTAAGTAGAACTGCTGTAAATAAAGCACTTAAAACTGGAAGACCTGTAAAGAAAATATATTATTGTACAGCTGGACACAAAAAATAAAAAAAAAAAAATACATTACTATCCGTTAAATGGATAGTTTTTAACTATTTAGGGAGAAGGACCTCAGCTTTGTCTTAATAAAATCAAGACTAAAGAGGTAGATCTGTTTCTGCGAAACCTATATAAGTAGGTAATTCAAGGCACATCATAGCAGGTACAGAACTGTGATCTCAGGCAACTTCTATCTTATTATTCTATTGGCTTTTTCGGCCAGGTTATAGAATAAGGGGGGGTAATTTTGCATATATCGGGCAATCGTGAAGATTTTATCGGTGAGTATTCGCACTCGGAAGGGCAATGATGAATATTGAATAATCGGACATAGTACGATAAGGTTGTATGTCTAAAGGGAAACAGCCCAGAACAAGAGTTAAGGTTCCAAAATTATTGTTAAGTGAAATTAAGGAAGTTTCTATCTAATACGACTAGGAAATAGGCTTAGAAGCGGTCCATTTTTTGAAGATCTCGTAACAGAGCACTGGTTTAATAAATAAACGCTTGCGTTTAATTTATACTGATAGTTGCACCGAAAATTTAACGGATCTAAACAATATACCGACACCTTGTCCATATTTATTAATAATTTATTATTATATTTAATGGGGTAGCAGAACGTTGGGTA